GCAGAATGCCTTTTGCTACAGTTGCCCTACCTTTCAGCCAACTGAACTTCTGTTAAAAACGGATTTAAATAAGGTTTTTAACTGTTACAGAGTACTAAAGAATTATTGTAACAGGTAGAGTTCACTGCCTTCTGCTTGCATTAAGCTACTTACTACCTGCTGGTGAGTGCTGGTGTTAAACTTGTGAAAATGAACTTCTCTTTGCAGCTGATAGGCATTCAGGATGGGTATCTCTCCCTGCTGACAGAAAGTGGTGAAGTTCGTGAGGATCTAAAGTTGCCAGAAGGGGATCTTGGCAAAGAAATAGAAGGAAAATTCAATGCCAATGAAGATGTGCAGGTAAGTAGGGAGGGCAGACAAAGAACAGTTATGGTTAGTTCCACTTGATACAATGAAGAAGTCTTACTCTGATATTGACCACTTGTGTCTCTTTGTGAAGGGTGGGCTTGAGGGCTGAGGATCGGTGCTGTGAGATATAGGAGGACATTTGGACTGGAGCACTTAAAGGAGATGGGATAGATACTAAAATGTGAAAGTTTGTAACTTCTAGAAGCACTTCCTGTAGGCTGGAGCTCACCTGTGTGTCTTCTCTTGCAGATATCTGTCATAAGTGCAATGAATGAAGAATGTGCTGTAGCCATAAAGCCTTGCAAGTAAAGAAGATCGCCAGGCTCGGGCACCTGCTCAGGTCTGGACAAACCACAGATCTATAAATTTGGTCCTTATTGTCACCAAAGCTCTGGCCTTCACAAGCAACCTCATTTCCTTTTTGAATTGTTAAAAAGCAGTGCTGGATTCTGGATTAGTGTTGCAGGCTAACTGGCAGTTTTCAAAATCACTGAGATTTTAATTCCTTAATTGTAACTATTTTAACATTCCTGTGGGTTTCAGCTATGGATCTAAGAAACCAATCAGGTGTTACTAGTGGATATATTTTTATTTGCTTGAGCAAAACAGTGTTTGTCTGTATGAACAGACAAAATACAGTATTCAGGGGCTTTTAGATAAGCTGGTAGGTATCTAGGATTATAAAGTGACCTAGAGCACAAATAGTATTTTTCTTGACATCTTTAGGTAGAACTGACAATAAAAGTAGCTTTTTTTTTTTTTCCTTTTTTTAAAGCTTAAGTACTTTGTGGATTGGGACTCTTGCAGAACTGTAGGTGCCAATCACAACTTTTAGACCAAGAAACTCAAGTGATCAGAAATGCCAGCTGGCTTGACCAAGCCCCAGTGGCCATGTGCAACTAAACTGTATTACCTCTGTTTTCTTCTTTGCCAACTTGTTGGCTTATTGTAACGATAAAATGGTTTAAAAAAAAAGCCTACCTGTGGTTTAGGCAGGCCTTTGGAATATTGAGTGGATAAGACATAGATAGGTCAAGGGGACACAAAGGTGAGAATGGATGTTAAAGCTATAGACTTTCACTCGAGGCCTTTGTCAGACTTGAAAAATAAAATAGAAAAATGCAGTTCAATTGCTTTCCTTTATTATATTTATCTTAAACTATAAAAGGGTGACAAAATCCATGGGAATCTGTTGCAGTGCTTCCAGCTTTAGGTTTTAACCTTCAGGTTCAGACCATATTTTTGTAGCACAGGGACCACACGTTTTTGAGAAAGTGGGACAAACTGTAGCATTGAGCCTAAACTAAATGCATGTGATTCTTTTTTTAAAAAAATAAAACTATTGTATTTTCAAAACATAAACTTGACAGACGATACCGAACAACCATGGCTTCACTAGAAGAGTAAATAACTTGCTACCTAGTTAGGGAAGCTGGCTCCTGTCCTGGGGAGTTCTGAGTCATAGCAACATGCATGCATGCCTCTGACTATTTAGTAGCTTAAAAGGCTTCACAGCAATAGTTATGGAAGAATAATTAGCCTGCTCCTCTCTAAGGTGTTCAGCTTGGATTCTAAAACTTGGTGACTCTTCATGAGTGGGGAAACATCCTTAGTCCCTGGCTCAGACCTCTCTTCACAGCTGATAAATTGTTTCCTGAACTTGCCTTAATGCTCAGTGGCTGATGGAGGATGACACAGAAGCTGCCCCGGACAGCACGCACAACTCACACTACTGGCAGCCAGAGTTGGACTCCATGCTGCTCTTAACTGCTTCAGACATTTTCAGCTTTATAGTTTGTACTCTCTAGTCCCCAAAGGGCTTGTGGCAACTGTCCTGAGCTGCCCTTGGCCACCCTGGGGCAGGGCTTAGCAAACCTTGGAGGTGTAATGCAGGTGGCAGAAGCATGCATTGTCCACAGGCTTCCCACACCAGGGAGAGCAGTGCCAGTGAAGGTAAAGACAGCAATAAATACACTCTGGTAATAAAGCACAGCTCTGGGACACCTGGCAGAAGTAGGACCTGCCACACGCTCTCACCTAGCACCAAACATGTTGCAGGTGAGCTGTATAAATAGCACCTTGACTGAAATGGCAAAGCTGCTTTTGAAAGAAGCTCTAGATTGAAATGCTTCTGGAATAGTTCTGAAGTGGAGGAGGAGTAGTTCAGGCCTGTCTGCACTGTGCTCCTGTCTGCCTCTCCATCAAGCTGGTACCTGGAAGTCAGGCTTTGATGGCTCTGGAGGTGACTGTAAGCATTGCTGATGATGCTGGCAGCAAGCTGAGCTGTGTGGTGTCACATGGGAGGTCACAGGTTGCTATGTCCAACTAATGCAAGTTCTATCACCACATTACAAATACTTCCAACATGCTTGAAAACTACAAGACTTGAATTTGTCCTTGCTCTGGTAGTGCTATTTTCAGGTTCCTGTCTGTCCTCTAAAACCTTGTTGGAAGACAGGTTCTTGATGTCACTGGGCCACAATCTGAGCAGTTACTGGGACTGAGCTCTCTGGGACCAGGGCTGCTTTAAGCCCTGTTCCTGTGAGTGCAGTCCTGGCCTGACTGGAGTTTTCAGGTACTACAGCAATCTGAAGAGAGGTTTCATGACCTCCAGCTTGCTGGAAGAGCCCTCCTGGGGACTTCCAGATGTCCTTCTATTGCAACCTTCAGTTCTGCAAGATTTAAATGATTAAGTACTTCATTATAGGTTTGTTCTTATATACTTAGTTGTCTTTGTGAAGCACTTCAGACACCATGGAAGTGCAGAGCATCATGCATGAAGTTTCCCATAGGTACATAAGCATGTCTTAAAGCATAATCTCCAAGTTTCAGTAAGGTTAAAAGTTGCTTCTAAATTAAAACATGTATTTGAAGCATTTTTTTTTCCAAAGTAAGACGCTTCAGTTTCCTGTCAGAATCGTTGCAACAAACTTTGTGATCAGTAGTCCATAGAGATGTGTATTTTTAATATCATAACCAAGTGCTTAGGGAAGTTCTCCTTCATAGCTTTACTTTAAAACAGATCTTACCAGTGTATTTGTTCTGTATTACTGTCTTAACACTTAAATTGTGTCAAAACCATAAACTTCTTATAGCTGATGGCAATTGCTTTGAGTAAAGCCTGTGAACACAGGGAGGTGGTGAGAGGTATTTCCACTCCAAATAATGTGGTTTTTTATGGCTCCTGTTCATTGAGGTTTCTCTTACTACTTCACACAATTGGAAAGACTGCAGTGTTTCCTGCCTCAAATGTTGGCAAATAATACTTTGAGAATTCAGTAGATCCTTCTAATTTTTGCTTATAATGGTGGTTTTTCAACTGGGCTCTTGCTGGTTGAGCCATGTTCTCAGGGCTGTTTTTTTTTAAGCTGAAGTTCATTGTTTCTCTTGCAGGTTTTTCTAATCTGAAGTGTACCCAGAAAACGGTGCACGGTCTGTAGTTTCACAATACAGATAATTTTACATAATCTGTAAAGAAGTCAAGTTTGTTGACAGTTCTAACTCTTATGGTTACTGCAGGTCAGTCTCACAGAATTCAAAATTCAATAAATCCCACTATTATTTTTTTTTCTTCGGTTGAGTAATTAGAACGTAGTTTGTTACAGTAGAACTAAACTTCAGGCTATAAAGAGACCTTGTTGAGGATATTTCGAGTATCCACGGGAATGTCACTGAAGGTGTGGCTCTGGAGCAATCACAGCTCGCCTCGAGGTGGCCGGAGGCTCTCCAGCACCTGCACCGTGGCCCTGCAGTATTTGGCATCCGAGAGTGACTTGGTTTGTTGAACTCCAAGGAAATGTTTGCTGTGCTTTGCTGTATCGCAGACCCCTTTGTCCTGTGCTGTGTGTTGTAAGCGAACCTGGCTGCTGCTGCTGCTCCCGGGGCAAACCCGGCCCTGCAACCGCGAGATGCGGCAGCTCCGGTGTCTGTTCGGGAAGCTCTGTTACTGTTCTCAACACCATGGAACCGATCAGGGGAAAGATTTGTACGTGTGTGTGTGTTTTGCTCCAGAAATAATAAAGGTGTCAGTGCTGTGGGGACATGGTGCTCGTTATAGTCACGGGAGCGCGGTGGGGCTGCCAAGGGGAGGGGGG